ACTTGGACTGGAAGGGACTCTTGCAGGCCATTTGCCCTGCTGATCTCTCTGTCCCTTGTTAGCCCAGAGCATCCCAAAATGGCTACTTTTGAGCACCCCAGCACCTTTTTCAGCAAAACTCGTAGTGTTTATGCACGCTGACTCCACAGTTAAAAGGCACACCTTATTTTAATGTATAGTAGTGCTAGCACCCAAATACCAGATTCTGCTTTTCCAGCATACATTAATTTTCTGTGCTGCGGGAGACCATTCCCTGCTTTAACCTCCTTTCTATTAAACACAGTTATGGCACACCACCAGAGGCTGTGGCTTGCTCTGTCACCACATGATGCTCATTTACCTGAGGTTGGACTCTTCAAGTCTCTTGTCTGTTTTCAACCTTTTAATCACTGCCTAAGTGTGCTAGAGAAGGCTCAGAGAAAAGCCGCATGCTGCTCTGACAGTGCTGGTACAGTACACTGGGTGGCATTTATGTCTGTTATATGGCAAAAACAGGAAATTGGGTTAAAGCATAAAGTGTGCAGGGCTGAAAAGGCTGAAGTTGCAGTGGTGTGACTGTCCAAAGAGGCCCGGAGGAAGTGGTAGTCCCAAGGAGAGGAAGTTAAATAAAAGTAATGTGAAATCTAAAACTCCTGCATTGCATTCTCAAGGTAACCGTGAAAAAAGATGGTGGAAAAGCCCCTCCCAAACAACAGTTTCTACAAAATGAGAGACAGAGGAAAGATTATATGGCTTGCCTCCTACGCACAGAGCAATCATTCCCAGAAGAGCTCTCACAACCATCACCTATGATGTTGAGGAACACCAGTTGTTCTCACTGTCACCCAAAACAACTTTTCACTGGGGCAGAGAGAAAGACTGAACAGAAAGTGCAGCAAAGACTGGGCTGCTGACCTGTCACATGACTGCAAGGATCACATAAACCTGTGAACAAACCAACAGAAAAAAACCTGCTTTGTGATAGAGCTTCATTTAATAGCCCACTTTTACTATATGCCTTTCTACAGCACTAACTCCTCAATCTCACTACCATGCAGTAGCCTACAAACTGGTCCCAAGTGCCCAAAACAGTTGCCTTCTGTGCAAGCAAAATGTTTATGCTGAACAAGAAAATTAACTGTACAACACAAAAAGCTGTTAAGTGAATAACCCTCCAGTTCCTTCCAGTGCACTGCTCAGCTTCAAGCTGCTCTTACCGATTGTCTAGAGAATCAACAACTGCAAGACCAGGGAGCAAAGGCAACAGAAACTAAAAGAGCATAGCAGGGTTGAGTCTTTATTTTGTTACATAAAAGCCAGATAATTAGCTAAGGGAGAGGATGTAAGACCTAGGCAGATTTTCTGCTAAGATCTGGCTTTAGGCCTTCCCCAGGCTGACCTCAGGGAATAAAAAAAAGGTTGTCATACTCCAGAAAACAGCAGGTCTGAGACATACTCTGCTGTACATGTATGCATTGACAGTAAGCTTGTGACAAACTGAGTATAGATAATTGCAAAGAGAAGGAGAAGCAGGAAGGCTCATATAGACGATGTAGCACCATGTAACAATACCTTTTCCCCTCCCTAATTTGTTAACATGTCTCACTCCAAAGATTTTTAGTTTGTGGCTCAATTTTGTTAATGATAGAACAACAGCAATAACCAGCTAGCACAGGGCTGTACAACAGGGCAGCTAACCTGAGCTGCTAGCTCAAATGCAGGTGGTTCCGGCTTTTAAATGCTGCCATAAATGGTTCTTTACCACTTAGTCTCTGAAGCCATCCACCATGCATCTTGGGAACCATGACAGACCACAGACCGTGATCACACCACAAGGCTCCAGACACCCTCTACAGTGAGGAATATCTGCCAGAGTAGCATCTCAACCCTTTATTTTGTCCCATCTTTACCCCTGAAAGCATCCATTACCACACAAATACAGAGCTACAGCACTCAGCACACTGGTTGATTTGGAAACGTGGCTCTTTAGAACCTCAAACACAAGAGCAACAATGATGACCAAGGAACAGACTGAGACGCAAATGTCAAGCATGCTTGGTCAGGAAGGAGTTCTCTTTGCCCACCAAACCCCTACATTTTTTGTTTCTCACTTTCCACTCTCAGAACACACTCAGCTCTCTTACCTTTAAGGCTCACCAGCTCCTGCTCACAAACTTGCTGCTTTGTGCTCAGGCACCTGTTGCCAGCGGTAGCTTTAGGACTGCTGCGTGCTCCAGTTCCTGTTTTAACTTCAGCTGTCTTCACTTCCTGTGTCCCAGCCCCCAGCTCTGCTCAAGACATCAGTACCAAGAGCTGCCCCAGTGCTTGGCGGCTCCCTCGCACTGCAAACCAGTGCTCTGGCACGCTGACAAGGCATAAACCCAGGGTACAAATTATTAACTCCACGAGTAGTGCTTGATGGGGCACAATTACATTTTTTAGTCTGTTTCTAAACCAGCAGAACTTTGTCTTATTTCAGTTCCTGGTTCGTTTGGGCTTAGCCCACCAGCCTGGGTGTACACCCAAGAAGTTGTCTGGTAGCCAATGGGAGCCTGATATGACTTCGATTGACTGCAGCACAGATCAGACTGAGATTTAAAGTGGGCTCCTGCCAGGGGGTGTCTGTGAGTACAACCCTCTGGAGCAGCAGGTCCTGCAGTGGGGGCAGAGCCTCTCTCCTTCGGTCTGGGACACCAGTCAGGGTAACTCCTCGAGGTTGAGAGTCCTCATCTTTATATGGGTGAGTGTGTGTGCAATCCGGATTGTTATTCTCAGCTTGAGTTTGGTGTAGTGTAGTAATTGCTCTTCTCAACCAATACCAGAACTTGTAAATTTCCGCGAGCTCTCATTTTTTAATAAACTTAGCTTAATTGCATTTGTGGTTGAATGGGAGCACTCCTCAAAATGGGCTTTAAGAAAACTATTAAATATAGTGGAAACATTATATATGGTCTTACAATACCCTATTACTCGCTTTGGTTCTAACAGTGGTGGTGGACTGTAATAGAGAATATGAACAAAAGTAGCTGTCTTTTAGCTACTTTAGCCCCATCTAAGTTAGTAGCCTGCTTCCAGCTTGCTGTTGCCAACTCCTGTGTCCTTTCTGGGGTTGCACAGCTCTAACATGGTGCAGTGTTCAGTCAAGTGTGCATAAACGCAAAGAAAAGTAAACCCAAGCAGATATTGTTTTATTGGAATTGCTTGCACTATTGAAGTTTCCTTCTTCTGTTATTGCAGCAAAAGCTGAAAAAAGCTGAGAGGTGAGATACAGTAGATGGTCATCTCCATAGGCACCCAAAAATATGAAGAAACAGCTTCTGCAATCAACATACAAGGAAGTGTACATAAAATTGACCTACAGTTCCATGTTGGTCCTGTAAAGGGTGTGATACAGCAACAGTATACCCTCAAGAGACTTCTGACAACATTACACAAATTATATCTGAAAAATAATCTTTATTATATATAGAGGAGCACATGCCCCAGGAAGCTATAGGCAAAGTATTTGGTCACTGAATTTTATACAGTTGAGGAAGTCCACATGGATAATCAAGGGTAGCACACAAATGGATATATAGTGCCAATGTTCTGGACCTGCCAGAGCTTCAGTTATTTTAGCTACCATGATGAAATCATTCCATCCTCAAACAGGCTTTGTCCACTGGCTACAGAATCTTAGTTTACCAGCAATATCAGAAGGACTATCTATTTCCCATGGGAAAAATGTGACTTAATACTCTATCAAGAGGCAGATACAATCCTTCTGGCAAGTACTCTGAACAGAACAACCTCTTGGTTTCTGACAGGGAACTCAACTGGAACTATCTTCTTTGCATTCAGCATTCTCCCTTTGGAAGAGGGCAGTCTCAATTCCAGGACATATTCAGGAGCTCTTTAGAAAACATAGCTTTTCACACATCCTATAAAATCAAATCCATTTGTATCAGTTTCCTTTAGATTCAAACAAATCCAATGACCAGCACTAGCTTTCTACAACAGGCTTTTCCTAAAGCAGAGATGCCAGAAGGTTTCAGAACTCTAGTCCTTTCTTCAGCACAGGGGGCACAGTTCATTTCTGGAGCTTGTGCCTTTGATTTGAGTTCACATAGCACATTATGGAACCCTTCAACACTGCCTATACAGATGTCATCTTGTGACAAGGGTTCAATGGATGAGAATGCAGGAGCATGGCTGCTCTCATTTCAAGAGGTATGCAAGTATCTTCCATCATGAGAGGTGCACAAATGCTCCGAACAGCAAGATTATTAACTTAGAGCTAAAAAGTTTCTTGTTTCCTATTCCTTTTTAATAACTAAATTACTGACATTATTTTACAGGCTTGTCAGGGCAGACATATGATTGCTTTTAAATGGAATGCTCAGCAGGTCTAGTTATACTAATTTTGGCCTTTCTTCAAAAGGAGATACAACTGAGTAGGAAACATGATTTTGAAATTCATGTTTCTTAAAGTGTCCACAGCTTCCTTAGGATATGGATTTCAAAGAGCACCGAGCCACGGAGCAAATCTAAGGGATAGAAGAAAGGGAAGAAGTTTCTCTTTCTTGTGTCTAGCTACAGGGTTTCCCCAAACCAACTCACTCAGTCTAAGAGAGGTAAGATCTTAGGAGTTCCTAGAAGTGTTGAAGTACTGCAGCATCTCAAGAATATTTTTCTTATTCCTACCGCAGCACAACACTATATAAAATGAGTGGTGCTACCTCCAGGTACAGGAACACATGCTGTCCTTGAAACTTGTAGCATGAGAATCCTGGCTCCGAACATGTACCACTCATTTAAAAACACCGAAGGAATGGCAGGTGTCCTGAAAGCAGATCCCCAGCATCAGCACTTGCTACTGCATACTTAGCAAGCAACCTAGGTGCAAGTTGCTGGGCACAGCTGCTACTGAACGGCTGATGTGGAAAAAGAAGGCAGCTGCGTGAAGTGCTACTCAGTTGCTAGGGAATGTAGGCCCTGATTACACAGAGGGCTGCGGGTCAAGAGAAGACTGTTATTCCTGTTCATAGGTGGCCTGTAAAGCACAGGAAGAGCAGGACATGGACAGCAAGCAGATACATGGCCACTAGCAGAGGCAAGTGGGTCCGGGAATGGAAGAGAGAGCGTAACAGGCGTCGTAGTCCAACAATATTCCGAGTCTGGAAGAGTAAAAGAGAGAGACAAGTCAGTACCAGGAATGGATTATGTCCCCAACTGCCTTCACCCAGAGCTCTCCAGATCATGAAGATAAGTTTGCTCAAGCTAATGAGCATGATCCTTACCAAATGTATTCTACTGTCAGATTTCACCTTTAGAGTCAATCCTCAGTGAAATATTTACCTTCCCCTGCTCTGTGCAGGTTTCTCACAAAACAGCTGTCTCAAATTCTCCTTATGAGCAACAGAATGCAGAACATCTCTGACATTTGGTCCCTGCAAATTTCTAGCAACTCTGCGTGGAATATAGACAAATGCATCAATGGTACATTTCTGCTGCAGCCTCAAGCTCCTAGAGCTGCTCTCTGACCTAGAAAATTATTATTTATTTGTTGTGTTTCTACCCTTGCAGCTGAAGGCTGTTGAACAAGCTGCTGTAGAGTGACCTTACTTTACAGGGCCTCTTCGAGGAGTACTCAGACAATCTAACATCTACTGGCAAAGTTCCAGCAGAAAGAAAAACCTGTCTATCCTAGTAATAAACCCCAAGCATGAGCACAGCGTAGCTTCCAGTTATGGCTCTTTCCTTAATGCTACTGACGCTGCTCTTGAGAGCACCACTCCCAAGTCTTGA